TATTATTTGGGAATCAATTTTTCATTTGAAGAAAACTTATTGATTATTAGGTTAATTATGTATTTATTATTGAAAAACAAATGGTATAAAAGGTAAAATGTAAAATAGAAGCGAAATTGTAATGGTATTGTATTAATGAGATTTGATAAAAAGTAAAAAAGTCAAAGCTAACTGATTTAGTCGAGAAAATGGTTGATGTTTTATTAAATGTTTTATTTATGGATTAGCCCGTAATTATATATATAGAGAGAGATTATAAATATAATTAAATAAATTAATCATCATTACAAATCAAATTAACTTTAATTCATTACTAATCCACTCGCGTAATTTCAACTACCTATCACTTCCAATCACATTTTCCTACTTTTACATCAAATCAACTTTAATCATTTTATTTTAAATGTTATTTTAATATAAATTCAAATTGTCACTCCAACCTAACTCAACCAGCTTTTTCAAATATAATTATGGTTAACTAAAAAAACCAATCAAAACCAAAAATATCTATAAACAAGCTTGCATATTTTTAGAGCTTTATAGACGAAATAACATTATTACATTTAACACTTTTTTACAATTAGATTCTTTTAGGGAAAAATGATAAGTTAGAATATATCTTAATTGATTAATTTATTAGGTTGGTGTATGCAAATAAGCTTAATTTGGTAAAACGAGCTCATTTTAAAAACATTTGAGCTTATATCATAAACTTCATTCGGATTGATTTTCAAATAAGTCATTTAAATTTTATATTTCAACTAAACTATTAGCTAATTTTAGCCATCAACCATAAGTTATCAACTATCAACCAACTTTTAATTATTTACCAAATATAGTCTTATTACACAACTTATTCGCATGACTTGATGATAAGTCTGATTTTTTACTATTTCTTAGGTACATCAGATTTGGTAGTTCTTCATGAGTATTTTAATTGATCTATTAGTTAAAATATATTAATTACTATATAAACTAAGATCAAGAGGTATCCTAAAAGTGAAGTCATAAGCGTTTTTTTAGTATTTTATGTAAATAGTGAGATTGTGCCAAAATAATTCTATCATAGATTCTGATAGTCCTTATTACGAGAATTACATAAGCTAAACTCATATCTTCCATGTGGATTTTCTTTTTCAATATCCTTTTCGTTTCCATGATTACTTAATGTTAATCCTCATGATCAATATAAGTCTACATATAGACCAATAAATGCAAAGGTGTTGTAATATAGATTTTCGATATGTAAGATAGACAAAGAGAGAAAACAGTGAATAGGGAGAATAACAGAGAAGAGATAGAGCCATAAAACATCATTTTCTTATTCATTCACTTGAACCATATACATAGGGAAAATACAATGTACATAAATAATGACCTAATGGACTCTTGGCCCATATCTACAAAGCTTATATCTAGGTAATGTCTACAAATAATAGTTATTAAAATACTCCCTCTTGGACATTACTGCATCATGTCTATGCCTCGTTAAAAACTTTACTACAAAACCTGGTGGGAAAAAGTAGTCGAGGAAAAAAGTACATTGACATATGAAAATTTATGTGTTACACTTCCTGTCTCGTTAAAAACCTTACTAAGTAAAACCAAATAGGAAAAAGCTTAGCTAAGGGAAAAAGAGTAAACACCAACCAATAGGGACTAATTTTCAAGATTACAATTAGCATTCCGAGCTCGAATCTTCGGGACTTATTTATCCTTATCCATGAAGGCAAGAGCCTTTCAAGTTACATTTATAATTATTTGTTGCTCCCCCTCAATGTAAGAGCTTTCTAAATGAAATTGTCATAATACTTTTGTTGCTCTTCCATAGTTAATGTGGCTTTAATAAAAAAAAATCACCAATTGTATTTCCACATTTATTTTTGTAAAACAAGCTAAAATATCTTTGAGACAATTATCGGGAAATATGATAAATGGTTAATAACATTTCAAGGTATATATCAACCGAGAACCCAGTACTTCGGGCATCAATTATACAATTGTTTTCCTTATCCAACAGTATCATATATCAAGTCTAAAGATAACTCAACATACATGAAAACATAAGGGGATATTCTCAAAATTTATCATGATATCTCTGTAAGAGAGAAATAATAAATCTTTCTAGGAAAATAATAGCAAATGCAGTATCAAGCCAGATGAAGTTTGCGAGATAAAAGTTTACCCCAATTGCGCTTAGTTAATAAATTTTAGGTCGTTTGAGGACGTCAAGTCCATTGGAATTTCAGGTCCTATAATATCCTCATTAGTTTCTTTGGATCTCTATAAATATATTTCACATTCCAAATATTTTATACTCATTGGTGTTATAACTTTACATATCTAAAAGAGATTCAAGTAGAATGGTTGGGTAAAAATTACTCCTTCTAGGAGATGCTCGATCTACAAGTCAAGATAATACTCTTAGGTATTTAACCAAGAGTCTCATTCTAACCCCGTCTATAAGTATGAGCTAACTTGTTTAATCTTTTACATAGTGTTCACCACATAATCTACTTAACCGAGATGATCATTTTATATATTATCATTATACACAAGGTTTTACCTTAAATTTCTTTATTCACTTCTTCAGGAAGAATTTAGTTGTTTGTACCACATCTTACCAAAAAATTTAAATAATTAAAGGATTTATTATTCAACTATCTTTCATCTCGGGTACTCAAGTCCATCCAGTACTTTCACTTATGACTCAATAGTCATGGGAATATTGGTCCCATAGATACTAACTTGTGGAATGATAATGGGAAAATCTATCTAACTAATTTTTTTGTTTTTGCGTAAACCCGTGAGCATAATCTCGCTATTTACATCACATCACGATATCACATGTTTCATATAAATATTCATTATCTCTCTGGGATATACTCTCCTTCAGGAATATATCGTGTAGCGAGTGGAAGCTTTGTCTCTACTTTTCTTTCTATCTCAATCAACCTAAGCTCTTCTAGCACTTTTATTCTTTTGACCCGTATCATTATTTAAGATAGTAAAGAAACCATACAGGCAAGTATGTTGTCGATAACTGATATTCTATTAATATTTTTCTCTCAACCATATATGCAACTTAATATTTACTAGTCATATTTACAATCATTTCACATAACATAAGATTTTGTTTGTTCCGCATTTCCAGTACTTTAATGTTTGATGCACGTGCAAGATGTACCAGATCAACTCTTCAAGAGTTCCATATGAAGGGTGTTAATTTTTTTTTTTTTTTTTTTTGGAACGATAGGAATCACGTATATGCACAACATAAAAACAAGACTAGAGAACAGCTACTCAGCCGTATAAAAACCGACCGTCGAATAAGCTGAATCGCTGACCTTAGTAGGTAGGACTACACATAGAAGCCGACGGCAGCCTAGAGCCAACCTACAACACAAGCACACAACAAAAAAAAAGCTCCCAACCGGAGAATAAAAAAAGTTCTCAACAGGAGAATACACCTAACACACTCCCAACGGGTGAGAAAAAAATGAAACACAACCTAAACAATAACACAGAAACTCAAACGACCAAACTATACATCACAAATAATTAGGTGTGCCCTGGCACACCTTGTTAGGTGTGCCAGGGCCGAGAGTGAAGACACGTAAAAAAAAAAGAGAGTGGCTTTAAATTAAAAGTTTCCATCCCACGCGTAGAGAGAGAGAGAGAGAGAGAGAGAGAGAGAGAGAGAGAGAGAGAGAGAGAGAGAGAGAGAGAGAGAGAGATAAAAGGCGGTAAAAGTTCACCTTCCTTCCGCCAAAATTGGCAGCATTTTCAAGGCAAAAAATCTTCTTTCACTCCATCTCTTCTCTTTTGAAGGCGAATCTCGATTTTTATCTTCTGCAAAACTGAATTTTCACATGGTGATATTAGAAGATCTAGACGCAGCCCCTGAATTTTGTAATCATGAAAATGAACATGTTCATTTTAATCTGGAAAATGAACATGTTGATTTTGGAGATGGAAGTGTAATTGGGTCTTCCAATCTGGAAACAATTTCTTTATTTGTAGATGAACATGTTCATTTTAATGAAACCGCTGTAATATCGATTGATGAAGATGATGAACATGTTGATTTTCGAGATGGAAGTGTAGTTGGTTTCCAATCTGAAAAAAAAGTGTAGTTGGGTCATGCAATTCGGGAACAATTTATTTATTTGAGGATGAACATGTCCATTTTAATGAAACTGCTATAATATCGATTGATGAAGACGATGAACATGATGATTGTAATGAAATCGCGGTAATATCCATTGATGAAGACAATAATTCTGTGGTTGAAACGGGTGAAGGCGCAGGTAATTCAGAAAATATGTTCATTCTACAATCACATATGTTCATTTCATAATGCAAGATGATATAGGATATTATCTGTATAAAGACAAACCGGTCTGGCGAGCCGGTTGAAAAGAGCAGACCGGGAGCAAACCAAGCCCAAAGGCGGGAATACAAGCGATCGAGCAGCCTAAGGCTCGACCACATAGGCGCTCGGGCAGCCCAAGGCCCGACCGCACAGACGATCGAGTAGCCTGGTGCTCGATCAGACTTATCGAGCTACCCATTAATCGATCAGATAAGTGATCGAGCAAGCTGAGTGATCGAGCAAGCTGATCGACATAAACCTAGACGCGTGTATAGCAGACGCGCGTGAGGGTCTCTGACTGAGCTTCAGGAGAATATTTATCCCATGTGCAGGAGGGACACGTGTCGACGATGTATTGGGTGATAGCGATAACCACCCCTGACAGCTCCCAACGCCTTGCGCCACCTCTGACATGTGCGCGGCGTGTCAGAGTACGGATGGGCAGCTTGGGCAGCCAACTTAGCCTTATCCGGGCAGCTATTAGGGAAGATATCTCACTCCTATATAAAGGGGGCGAGCCTTTCTTCCTTAACACATTCTATTCATTCTCTAAATTCCAGTATACTCATACACATACTGACTTAAGCATCGGAGGCTCTTCACCGGACCCAACCCCCGGTGTGAGAGTTATTTGCAGGTTCCCGGCGTTCTACCGGCAAGGACAAAAACCGATCTACTCCAAACCGGACCTGGACCAGAACCAAAAAAGGAGCAGAACCACCTGATGGGAAGATCACCAAGGAGAAACTCGCCTAAGAGGAGCGAGCGGAGGAGAGCGTCTCCTCGAAGAGGGAGTGGGGACGCGAAAGGGGAGAAGAGAGATGAATGGCAGAGGAGGCCGATGGTGTTCGAGAGGCAGAGGTATCACAACTTTACTCCTTTGAGGAAAGATATGACAGAAGTGCTCGAGGCCATGGAGCAGAAGATGTCGACTGAGGACGTAACTTGGCCAAAGACAAGGTTCACCGGCCTGCATCGGCCCCGGTCGGATTTGTATTGTCGATTTCACAAGGATTACGGCCATACCACGGAGAACTGCAGACATTTGAAAGATGAGATTGAGAGGTTGATTCGGGCAGGATATCTTAAGGAGTTTGTCTATCACGATAGGGTGAGAGGAAAAGGCAGGAGGAGATGTAGGGATGATTCCGAGGAGAGGAGTGATAGAGAGGGAGAAGGAGATTGAGGGGATGGTCGAGGAAAGAGGTCGAGAAAGGAGGGAGATAGAGAAGGGCAAGGAGGAGGGGCCCCGCCGAAGAGAGGAACGATTTACATGATTTATGGGGGGCCAACAGATGGTGACTCGAACAGATCGAGGAAGGAGCATGCGCGAGCGGTGAAGAGAAAGAGAGAGGAGGTGGGGATAACAACGCGCATGCCAATAATAAGTTTTAAGGCGGAGGATGCTGAGGGAGTAGTTTTACCACACAATGATGCTCTGGTGATAACCGCGGAGGTAGCGGGTTTTGATGTAAAGAGGGTGTTCATTGATACCGGAAGTTCGGTAGATGTCATGTTCTATGACTGTTTCGTGCAGATTAACAAGGAGCTGAATATGGAGCTGAAACCGGTAGCCACGGCGCTTTACGGCTTTAATGGAGGAGAAGTTATGCCGATGGCGGAGGTCAGTTTGCCCGTGGCGCTGGGCTCAGGGGAGCTGAGGAAGGTGCGCATGGTGAGATTCGTGGTGGTGGGGGCTGAGTCGTCCTATAACATCATCATGGGGCGGACGAGCTTGAACGCATTCCAGGCAGTTGTATCCACGTACCACATGACGATCAAATATCCGGTGGGCGAAAACGTAGGGGAGATTGCCGGGGATCAGCTCACCTCGAGAAGTTGTTACCAAACAACAGTTAGCAATAACAAACAATTGGCAAAGAGACAGGCCGAGTTGAAGGCGGAGGAAATCAATCGACCAGGAGGATCAAGGTCGAAGGAGGAGAAGCAAAAGTTGGAAAAGGGTAAGGAGAAGATGGACATCCAGCCTGGATAAGAAGTCGAGGAAATTCAGATGATCGAGGGCTGTGAAGATAGAAAGTTCAGAATCGGGAAGGATCTGGAGGAACCCATTCGGTCGAGGCTGATCGATCTGGTAAGGGAGTTTGCTGATATTTTCGCCTATACAGCAGAGGAGTTAACGGGAATAAGTGCGGAGGTGATCGAGCATCGACTAAATATCGACCTCAGCGTGAGGCCGGTGAAGCAGAAGAGGAGGCACCATGGGGCGGAGATGGACAAGATCATCGAGCAGGAGGTCGAGAAACTGTTGGGGGCGGGGCATATTAAGGAGATTCAGTTCCCTGAATGGCTATCGAACACGGTGATGGTGTCGAAATCGGAAGAAAAATGGAGGATGTGCATTGATTTTCGTGACCTGAACAAGGCGTGCCCGAAGGATCTATATCCACTGCCCAGAATCGATCAACTGGTCGACTCCACGGCAGGGTGCGAGCTGCTGAATCTTATGGATGCATCCCAGGGATATCATCAAATCCCCCTGGCTAGAGAGAATAAGAAGCGGGTGAGTTTCGTGATGAGTCGAGGGACATATTGTTACGTGGTCATGCCGTTTGGTTTAAAGAATGTGGGTGCCACATACCAGAGGTTGGTCGACAAAATTTTTAAGGAGCAGCTGGGAAGGAATATAGAGGTATACGTGGATGATATGTTGGTGAAGAGTAAGGAGGAATTGGATCATGTGCGAGATTTGAAAGAAACATTCTTAACGTTGCGGAGATACGGGATGAAGCTGAATCCGGCTAAGTGCTCTTTCGGGGTGAGGTCGGGAAAATTTTTAGGCTATCTGGTGACCAAGAGGGGAATTGAAGTCAATCCGGAGAAGGTTCGAGCTGTGATGGAGATGAAGTCACCAACAAGCGTAAAAGAGGTGCAAATTTTAGCCGGTCGAATCGCGGGGCTGAGTCGTTTCATATCGAAGGTGGCGGAGAAGAGTGGCCCATTATTCAAAACCTTAAAGAAGAGCACGAAATTCCAATGGACGGAGGAGGCGCAAAAGGCATTTGAGGAGCTACGTGGGGTGTTGGCCAACCTCCCCCTATTAGCCAAACCCATACAGGGCGAAGAGTTGGTGCTATACGTTTCTATCGGGGAGAGGGCTATAAGTTCGGTACTGTTGCGAGAGGAAGGAACGGCGCAATTGCCTATATATTATGTGAGTAGAGTGATGCAGGGGGCCGAGACGAGGTATTCAGAGATCGAGAAATGCGCCTTAGCTGTGGTTGTAACTGCTCGAAAGCTAAGACCTTATTTTTTGAACCATAAAGTGAGGGTGCGAACGAACATGCCATTGGGAGAAACACTTGG